GTCAGTCCCAGCCCTCAAACTGTCAGCTACCAGTCTTCACAAAGGAGTTGTGCCAGAATTAAATCAGCTCCGCCAGTCAGCAAATCTTCCTCAATAAAGCAGAGAGTGTCTGGATTCATACTTGGGGGAAGTTTCAAGCAGACCCCGGCAGCTGTCACTGTGTGTCACTGCCTTAGTCAGTCCTTTCTTCGGGACAGAAGTAGCTTTAGATGGAAACCCTGAGAAAAGCAGTAGCCAGTCATGGTGGCACACGCCTTTAATCCCAGAACTTGGGAGGCAAAGGCAGACAGATCTCTGTGAGTTCAAGGCCAGCCTGGGCTGCAAAGTGAGTTCCAGGACAGCTAGGGCTATTCCACAGAGAAACCCTGTCTCAAGAATGAAAGAAAGGAAGGAAGGAGGGAGGACCTAAGCTGAATTCCCAGAACAATATAAAAAAGCCAGACATGCTGGTTCAGTCCACATGAAGCTGTCACATCCCACACATAGAATGGCTGACCCACACGGAAGTAATTAATAGTTGTATTTATTGAGAAGTTCACAGACTCAGGTACTAGAAGAACTGAGGGTTGGCCTAAGTCTACTGTTAACTAATTGTGAGTTTCTGAAAACTCATTTACCTGTTCAGTGCTTTGGTTTCCAGCTTACAGAACGGCCTGTGTGACAGTCAGGCTTCCGCACTCTACAGCTGATCTCCAGTGCTCAGCAACTGGAGGGAAGCCCTCCAAGCCATGCTCTGAGCAAACAAAGCCCCTGCTCTGTGGGCCAGGCTCTGTATATTCTTATAGCAGGCTAAATGATAAGCACGAGCCAAAACAAGAATAAGAACACAACGACTGATAGCCCTTCGCGAACCACATTCTTATGGCCGATGCTTAGCAACAGGGCTTAGAGAGCTAACCACCCCAATGCAATTATAACTCCGTTCACCAAACAAGGCCAATCTGTGGTTTCCAGGAAACAGAAACAGGAAGGAATGTGCAAAGATATAGTAGCAACATCAAAAGATGAAAATACTGAAAGAACCCAAAGGAGACACAATAAAGACCTGAAAAGTGTGGTGCATACTTTAGAACAACTGGAACCGTGAAGAGTTTCCCAATGCTGACAAACCGCTGTCCATTGTATCATTCATGGGCTTGCAGAGGTAAAGGCAGACTGCTGATTCTTTTGAAAATCCCAAATCTCATAATTGAAAGTGGTTAGCTGTGGAATTACCACGCTGCTTCCTGAAAGACATTTTTACCTCAGTCTAGAACGTAAAGATCTTCTTGTCTTAAAAAAAAAAACTTAATATCAGAATGGAACACTCAGTGTTTTGGATAATTAGATAAAACACAAATTGTTGTTACATCTTAAATTATCAGGAAGTCCATCATTACATCAATGAATTAAAATATCTCTAAATGAGACACTGAACTTATAGGATGGCCTCAGTTATGACTCCTCTTCCTTTAGAAGAAAAGGGGAGTCAGTGGGAAGCAGGAAAGCTACTCCTAGTCACATATTACATATTCATATTACATGTGTGAATATGTAATATTCACATATTACACACTAATGTGCATGTACACATAACATACATTACATACAGTTGGTGAGATCTACCTTCAACTTTGACTTTTATGTTTTCTACCAGACGTTTCCACGTAAAGGTCCCATATTCCTGAGGTCCATGTATTCATTATCTTTGTCCTGCCATAGCCTCAGCTGGGCTCACCGTGTGTAAATTGTGTGAGCAGTCATTAATATGAGACCATTTACGGTGCCTCCTGTTCTACTTGGCTTGGTTTTCCTTGGATATTATTTCTTTGGAAATATTTATAAAAGTAAGATTACATGGACAAATATAAATAATGTTATAGTCACTGTTATATTTATTAGTCAATTGTCTCCTGAGGAAGAAACAATTTGGAAAGCTTAGCAGTGTGTTCAAGTATGACTGTGTCCCAACTCACCCCACTCACACACAATCATGCCACATCGCTGATAGTTCCGCTGGCTTAACAGGTGTGTGGATGTGAATCTGAGTCACCAGTAAGACTAAGTCCCATTTGTTGTAGTGACTCTGTCTCTAAATGCTTAAAGATCAGGCAAGAGACAACAAACAGCAATAAATTCTCGCATTCATAAACATTAATGCTTCTTACTAACACAACACCTGTGCATCTTTTAAAGTTGGGAAGATAGAGAAAAGTGCAAAACATATTATAAAGTTCACCTTCATCCCAATATGCTCTTCCCTTTAGCATGCCAGAAAACATGTATTTCCTTTCTTTGCCTTTCCATCGTCCCTATCCTTACTAAAGCCATCGCGGCTAGCATGTGACACAAAACGGGTCCAGGATTTCCACATGAATTCTCAACACAAATGGAGTCACAACCATCCTTGATTCATGCAGTGACATCTTCCTCCTTGTGAATCTAGACATCTTCTCTTCAAGATGTAGAGATCTACCTCGCACATCTGGCAGTTGCATGGTACTGTGTGGGTTACACAGAATACGTTTTGACGCTGGAACAAAGAAGGGCAAGGGATCCCAAGCTGATATCTGGGACACACATACTGCGTTCATTTTTCCTCTGGTTATGAAATCTGAAGTACCATCAACTCCCTCGCCCCTCTGACCCACCATTGCAATTACCCAAGCTCTCCTCACCCTGTTTCCACTCACTGCCTACTGTCTCTATTTTTTGGAAGGCTGTCAGAGAGACCGCCACTCCCTGCTGATGGGCTTCCTGTGGACTGCTGCTCACCAGTGCACTCTTCTGGCCCTCAGAGACCCAATCCTGGCCTTTCTCCTCTGATTGCTAGTGTTCGCAGTGTCCTTCCTCGCTCTCAGCATTTCCACCTTTCATCTGTTCTTGGCCAGGATGATGATATCACGGGTCCTCTGCATGATTACCCCCTCCAGCTTCCATTTCACCGTCTGTGCTCCTTCCTCAGTCTAGAAACAAGCTCACCCAAATACACAGTCCTATCGCCAGAGCAGAATAACTGCCGTCTTCCTGAGAGTGATGTGTCTGCTCGCAAAAGATCACAGCTGAGCTTGCCGACTAGGCATTCCCTCAGAGGAGGAGGGGATGAAGCGGGTCACTGGACCCTCGCCGGAGGATCCACTCTTCCCGGTCAGATTCTGCCCTAATCTTGTGTGACCTTGGGGCCTGGGAAAGAGCTAAGGTATCTAGGCTAAGAAGGCTGGGGAAGGACTCCATCCATGCAGCATGGAAAACCTCCGTCCATGTGGGCGCTGCCCTTCTACTGGAGCTGCTTTAAGCTTACCCATACTCCTGCCCATAACCCTCCACTCAGGATCTGGAAGTAAGCCTAGTGGACTCATTGGTCTCCACGGTGAACTTTGGTGGAGTTGAGCTTTAGGACCTAAGGAATTGGGGGGAGGGGGACATTGCTCACATCTCCCCCTGGAAAAATTCTCACAACATACTAACATCACAAAGTTGAGATTCAAGCCTGAGCAACTCGGATCATAACTGTGGTGTCCACAACTGACGCTTGCAAAACAGGACTATAAGTCTGGGAAGTTATAAAGTGTGTGTGGGGGTGGGGGAGGGTTAGAAGCCTGGATGGAACAAGAACACCCAAAACAACAGAAATCCACTTCTGAGGGAGGACCACAAGAGTGCCCGCCCCAGAGACTGTCTGTCACTTGTATGGCAAATAATAGAGCTTGCCCAGGGAGGCCTTTTTGTGGAGCTGCTTCTTGGGGCCCCTATGTGAATATTCAGTTCAATACAAATGTGTGGGGTTCAACCTCCCTGTGCTGTGTCTTCTTCCCATGACTCCTAACAGCTAAGTTCACTGGCAACGACAGGCCCGTGGCCATCTACAGAATGATTGACTCCCACTCTCTCTGCTAACCTTGACCACAACCGCTATTGGCAACAATAGGAGCACAGAACAAGGCAGCTTTTCCTGCCTTTGCTCACAAGCCAGTCCCGGGAGCCAGGTGTCTCCAGGAGTGGGTGTCAGGACTCCTTGTATCGTGTTTAGCTCTTTCTTTTCCTTCTCTAAGACTGGCTGTGGGTTTGATCTTCAACTCACCAATCCTGTGGCCATATATTATACCTTTCACCAAATCAAGAATTTTTAAATTATTTTATTATAATAATGTGTGCATGTGATGTATTTGTGCGTGTGCATGCGATGTGATGTATGTGTGTGTGCATGCATGTGCGCGAGTGAGGGCGGGTAGGTGCCACAGTACATGTGTGGAGGTCAGAAGAAAACTCTCAAGGTTGGTTCTCTCCTTCCACCATAACTTCCAGGATTCGAACTCGGGTCATGAGCTTAGGCAGCAGCATCTTGAAAGGGTACTCCATTATAGGGTCAAGAATAAGAAAATAAGGCAGAATAAGCAGTCCCCAGAAGCATCCTTCAGAGACTGTCCCTCTGTTCTCTCTGCTTCCTGACTTCAGACACAATGTGACCAGCTGCCTAGGGATCCTGCTGCCACAGTCAGTGGCTAAAGTCACTCTGTTTACCACACCTTCCCTGGCGTGATGTACTGTACCTCAAACTGTTAACCAAAAGACTCCTTCCCACCTTAAAACCAAGTCCAAGCCCAGCCTGGGCTACATAGTGAGACTCTAGATTATATATATATATATAATCTGTCATCAGTAATAATATAGCTTTAAATTAAAAGCAAGAAAATATGTAGTAGGCTTAAAATTACTAACACTGTATTAAAACTAAAACTGTATTAATTGTAAACCAAAGGTGGGAATATTCAAGCATTAAGGCTAATACATGAAAATATTTTCCACATATGTGTTCCTGTCAGACGGACTATTATGTGCACTATGATTCTGAGTTCAGATAGTATTTTACAGCTAATAGTGTGTAAGTTATTGAATCATATTTTTTGCTTTGACTTAGACTGGCAAGGTCTCATGCCCAAGTCAACACATAAAAACACTCTAAGTGAGCAGCTTTTCGGGTCAATGAAGGACTCGATCAGGCCAAGTGAGAAAGCGCACACCTGTTCATTGATCTCTCTCAGCTTCCCATCAATGGCTCTCAGTCGAGACCGCTGGTCCCTTTGCTCTTTGTTGTCCCGGAGTATCTTTTCTCCTGGAGCTGGCTCCATATTTCCTTCTTCATCCAGGTCAGGTTCCTAATTTAAAAGTAAAATAATTCACTCACGGGCCGGCTAAAGCACAGCCACAAACCCTCCAATGTGACCGAGACTTGAGGGTCAATTGCGTTGCTCAACGTCTCTTCCCTTCAACCCGTGCTTAGAATTCTTTTCAGTTCTCCTATCTGAGGAATTAAAAGTCCAAATACACATGAACAAATGGTGGAGTAAACTCGGGGTCTGGCGTGGTCTGAACACCAGGCAGGTGCAGCAGGAAGAGCCAGAGCTGGGTAGGAGCCTGAGTCCTGCCCACAGTTCCTCTACGCAGCATCACATTTTTCCATTTTAATTTCTCTAATTCTTTGCAAATGCATCTGGACAATGAAATATGACCATATCCACTCCCCATTCACCTCTCTGGTTCCCCTGGGACTTCTCCAACATGCCCATCTCCCAACTTCATGTCCTCTCCTCTAAAAAGTAAATAACCCACTCCATCTGTTTAGTGCTGCCCGTTTGTGCACTGCTGTGGGCCGTCCACTGAATGAAGCGTGTGCCATCTACCAGTGGCCGCACCTCCAAAAAGAAATGGTTCTTCCTGCCCCAGTGGCTATCAGTTGCCAATAACTCTTTGGTTAGGAGTGGGGCTTCGTGAGTTCTTCCACCACCTATACTGGAACAGTGGCTGCTTGAGACTGTGTGGGTAACCACAGCTGCTGTTGCTACATTGTAAGCGTGCCCATCCGTGTTATTAGAAGCAGGTGTATGGTAACAGGAGAAACTGGATTTGGCAACATCAGAAGCTCTGCACCTCGGTTCCACCTGGCTCCTGACTAAGATGATGTTACCACCTGTCTACCACGGGATGGTTCACGAATCGGGTAAGGGGCTGGAGATTGAAACACACACACACACACACAGAGAGAGACAGAGAGAAAGACAGTCATCCTTGAAACAAGAATGCCCCCTTTCTTTATTGTGTTCCAGGGCTTTCCTTGGCTAATGATCACGCCCTAGCTCTCGGGATTTTTCAGCTGCAAGCCCACCAGAAACCACTCCCCTACCATCAGGAACTCACAAGGGTCTCGTGCTCAGAGCAGCTGCAAGCATAGGAAAACAAGTTGTTTACTCCGGCAGGCAAGGGGGTCACAGAAAATTCTGGGTCTGAGGGTCTGCAGTCCCCAACAGAGAATTACTTAAGGTACTGTTTAAGCCTATTAAAGGGTCCCAGTGTGATTGATTCCTCCTCTGCCGAGAAACAACACAGCAAGGGATGAGGTATATATGGCCTGGGGACTCACCTGGGTCTTAGAGTCAAACCTCAGCCATGCTCTTGCTGCTAATTCCCCACTACCCCAGGCATCGACCCTCCACCTCCCTTCAGAGACTAACTCATTTGAATCCAGCTTGAGTATTCTCTGCTGTACCTGGAAAGGAAACCCTGCTCACTGTATCCATCTTATTGTTCCTATGATCACTTGGCCCTTCCTTGCACATACCACACATCCCTGCCTAGACAGCGGCATGACTGACCTTGCTGTACACAAACTAGACCCCTGAAGCTGCTCGAGTATTGACCAATAAACTCTAATGTCAGTTCTCAGAACTTTGATCACAATTAATGTTTGATCATACCTATAACAAATGTCAGCAAAATGCACATTAGACAGAGTTCTCCTGAGTAACTGGTAATGTGGGGAGTTCGCTCAGTGTGTGAAACGCTTGTCACAAGCCCAAGGACCTGAGTTTGAGTCCCCAGAACCCATGAAAAAGCTGGACCCAGTGGCACAAGCATCTGAAATCCAAGCTGGCTGTGCTTTCTGTTTCTTGTCCCAACTGATATATTGCCTGGGAAGGGGTCAGTAGCTGTCTTTGCAAAGGAATAAACTGGAAGAAAGTTTAACAGTAATTAACTTGATTTGAAAAAAATAAAACTTGATTTAATAATGGGAATCTATTTCAGTAATAGAATACTTGACTGGCATGCATGAAGCCCTACATTCAGTGCATGTGTGTGTGTGTGTGTGTTCCAATGTTCTTAGTTTTTGTGGTTCTTGAATTTTCTACAGTAGATGTGCTAATTTCATAAGTAGAAAGGTCATTTATTTTAAAATTTTTAAGCAAGCATGGCATTCCACCAACCCTCTTTCTGTTCTGCTCTGACAGAGATTATGTTCTGCATATTCAACAGTGCAGGCCTGGCGGTCCGAGCTCAGTCAGACTCTGCTAGGACCATCAGGTATGCAACTAAGATGCCATCCCCTCTTCCCAAGTCTTAACTTCTGCTGCCTCATCTGCAATTCTCTGCACTGCGAGGGAGGGTGTGTGAGATCTTTTCTTGGTCCCTTGGTCATCCTCTCTGACAGCATAACTGTCTAGTTCAAGTATCTGAGCAATACCATGTAATGAAGGCAGGCCAGGAGAGAACAGTGAACATCACTGGTGGTCTCCAGTGACCCGCTTGCACCTGGTGCCGGGAGCTCTTTCCTGACCGCAAACACCAGCAGAACCATCTTCACCGTCTTTGAGATTGAATTCAGTGGACTCTCCGAGCAACAGACTTCTCCTGTAGCTCTGAGTCAGACAGCAAGGATTTCGCGGAGAACTCAGCAAAAGCTCTCCGTGATGTACTCAGAGTGCCTGATGGCATCAGAAGGAGAGACTTAACCCCGAGGTAAATTGATATTTGTTATTCTGACTAACTGATTGCCAAGAGATTCTGGGTTTACCCTTTAAAAAATATCTGTGATGTTGGCTGAGCCCACAGAGGCCTTTGAAGCTAAATAAACTCATTTTTCATAAGTCAGATACAAAGGAAATTACTCAGAGCTCACTGAGTTATTTGATATTCAAAGAAGCCATGCGGTAAGAGCACAGACCTGCGTGGGAGAAGCCAGCCTGCCCTGCACGTCCAGGCTCACTCTCTGCATGTCTACAAGTCACTCCTATTTCTTGTCTCACGTGGGTCAGGTTGCCCAAATGTAGTGGGGAAAATCTTTCAGACAGACTATTTTTATCATCTTGGAATGTTGCCATGAAATGAAAGAAACCTTGCCAGCATTGGAGGCATCATGAGGAAAAAAAAGTATAAAATTCAAAACAATCTGTAAAAATGGGGGCTGGGAGACAAGAGCAATTTCCCAGATCTAAATGAGAATTCCAATAGCCTGGCTCTAGAAGCCAGGAATGATAAAGTAAGTTCTGGTTTATTCTTCAGTGCAAACGCAGATGCCCCTGAGACACGCTGCCGTGGTTTCTGCAGGGAGGTAAAGTCAGGGCTTGTAACTGGCATAAACCAATGGTACCTGGATTCCTGCTCTGAACCCATGCTTTAAATCTGGGGGAATGGACTTGGCAATATACAGTTTTTCAGGATTACATGTCAGATTGCTCCTAAGTTAGCTAGTGTTGAGAAAGAAAGAAACAAACCAAACTTTTTTTTTTTTTTTTTTTTTTTTTTTTTTTTTTTTTTTTTTTTTGCTGTCAGCGGTTGTGTGATTTTTGGCAAGAAAAGAGATGAATATAAACACTATGTCTTCACTCAAATAGTTGCAGGCTTGGGGGGGTTGTTTGTTTGTTTGTTTTTGCATTACCAAACTGTAAATGAAGGAATTAATGTTCTAAGCACAGGACAAAAATCAAGTTAAAGAAAGTCATTATATTCAATTGAGTTAGGTGGTTTGAGAACAAAGAACTACCTCTTGTCAGTAAGAGACATTTCTGAACACTCGCCTTTGATGGGGGGGCGGGGGGAGACCCCTCTAACCATGAAGTGGAATCCTGGATTTAGTAAGACTGATGGCGTGAGAGATGAATAAAGTCTGTGTTTCACAAGAGCCAAGAAGAACAGCACTGATCATTGAATCCAGTTGCTGAGGATTTAAGGAACTGAATGCTACACTACTCTCCCATATCATAGATATTTCTGGAGAAAGCTGGAATCTAGTCTACGCACAAATGAGAAAAAAACTATATGCCATCACTCAGCTTTACAGGGCGCTTTCCAATACAGAGAAAGAACTGACTGTCTTGTTGGCAACTCAAGAGATTGGTAAGCACAGGAATGCACGGTTAATCCACAGATCCTAGGAATAAACACTGCTGAGATTGGTTCTCTTTGGCTCCCAAAGATGAGGATTAAAAGCTGTAAGGAAACCGCAGCCACAACATTGTTAGTATCACAGCAGCAGCGAGAGAACAGGCTTTGTTTTCACAGAGGAAAAGACAAATGTTGCTTTCAAAACTTTTTCCATAGTTGGGGCTGGAGAGATGGCTCAGCAGTGGTTAAGAGCACTGGCTGTTCTTCCAGAGGTCCTAAGTTCAATTCCCAGCAACCACATAGTGGCTCACACCATCTATAGTGGGATTTGATGCCCTCTTCTGGCATAAAGGCATACATGCAGATAGAGCACTCACATACATAAAATAAATAAATCTTTAAAGAACATTTTTCCATAGTTAAGAGCACCAGGCATGTGATTAATATAAGGACGGTCACAACACGCAAACTTCCAAGGGCAAGGAGAGGTGATGTTCCCCTTCCCTCTCGCTTTTGGTTGTACCCTCTGTGATCATCTCTAGAGACCCTTAAAGTGTGCGTCATAGGTTTTCATACCTACCAACTTAACATCACACAGTAACCACAAGCAGCTATGCCAGGGAGCCTGTTTGTGTTCAACTTGTGCAGAAAACCATTTTCTTGACAACATGATACAGAACGGCAAGTGGACAGTAAAGTGGAGAACCAGAAGAGACACTAGCTGCCACCCAGCTCAGGCTAGCCCACACCAAGGAGTCAGGCGAAGGGCTGGCATATTCTCTAATTTCTCAAAGAAAAACTAGAAGCTAGCATTTTCATTTGAATTCACCTAACTTAAATATTGACTATGAACATTTGTAAACACTTTTTGAGCCTAAGGAAACCCATCTGTGAATTTATCTGGCGCCACAGGCACCAGCTCCAGCCTTGAGCTATGTGGTGGGCCGTCTTCTGTGGCTCTTTTGAGGTGAGTTCTGGGAATCAAACTCGGGTCCTCATGCTTTGGAAGCAGAAACTTCAGTGACCTCTTATTTTTTTATTGTTGTTAAATGTATATATGAACACACATATATAATCTTAAATAGAACCTGCTCTATCTGAAAAATGTTACTCAAAGCAAGGCTTTTGTACTCTAAGGTAAACTATGTGCCTGACTTATCTTTAAGTCCCTGTAATTTCTAATAAACAGTAAGCCCTAGGTTATTAAATGTTTGTTGAATTAGTTTGAAAGTAGAAATCTAGAAACAGGAGAGATGGTTCTGCAGTTACAAGTGTTGACCGCTCTTGTGAAGCACTCAGAGTGGCTCGCAACTGCCTGCAACTCCAGCTTCAAGGCTCTGGCACCCTCTTCCAGTCTCTGCTAGCACCCACATGAATATGCACGCAGACACACACAGGCAAGCAGGCACACTTGCACACGTGCGCACACAGAAATAAGAATACGTCTTTAAGTAGGAATGTGTAATCCACTTAAAAGGCATTCTCCCAAAGGCTCGTGAAGAAACACCACTGATGAGCCTAATGGTCTGCAGAAGAATGAAACTAAGACGAATTCAAATGCTAAGTGTTTGTGCTTAACAACAGATTGGAGCCCATTCACCAGCAGCAACACAGAGATTAAAAAAAAAAAAAAAGCTTATGCATTCTTTTCAGTGAACTTATTCAGAAGACCTCACAATTCAGAAATAATTACCATGAATTAATTTGCTAGGTTTGCATTTCTACTTGAAAGTTCAATGTGCAGTGCTGGTTTGGGCGAGAAGCCCCGAGAGGAAACTGAACACATGTTGAGAAGATGTGCTGTTTCGTGTGGAAGAAGCATCGGTCACTTCTTTTCAGCAACCATGACGCTCCTGGTCTGTTCCTGCATTCAGTGGGAAGCCCAGGAGCAGTTTTCTCTTTTCTTTGTAAAAAAAAAAAAAAAAAAAAAAAAAAAAAGTGTTGTCTCCCATAAAACTGCACCATCTCAGCCCACGCCAGCACAGCTGTATGATCCCAGCCCGCGCCAGCACAGCTGTACACTGGTTTCTCCATTTCATTATGGCTCAGAGATGACTTTACCTGAACCATAATGTGGTCTCTGGAAGAAAAATGTGACTTAGATGATGAAAACAAAATCTAGCAAAAATCTAGCTTCTGTCTCAAGGGGTCAGGCATAGCTCCCTCCAGGCCCTTAGAAACTTAACCTAGGGAAGCTGAGATAGCTCCCAAGGTGCCACCAGTTATTAAACTGTTTCTTCAGGACATCTTAACAGAGTTTCTTTAGCTACGGTAACTTCAGTTAGCAATTAGTATCTTCTAGAATGGACTTACTGATAAATTACTGATACTTAAATTTTTTGAAAGACAAAAGAAACCCCCACAGCCATAGATAACTGTGTGAAAAATAGTTTGCTTAGACTTTTACAAAGCTGAAAGAGAGATGCAGAGCGAGTTCCAGGACAGCCAGGACTACTATAGAGAGAGACCCTGTCTCAACTCCCCCTCTCTCCTCAAATAAACAAACATACCTTATTGTTCTGACTCTCGAGTCTTGGAGAAAGACTGAAGACCGTTGGTGAGAGCACAGAAAATTCCTGAAGTTTCGTGTCAATCTGAGCAAGCTTCTGAGACTCGGTGGCTGCAAGGGTGTAGCCTTCTCCCGGGACCAGCCAACCACACTGGTCACCCTAAAAGGAAACCAATGTGACCAGGTCATTCCCACGCGACATTTGCTTCAAAACATACTTCTCAGAGCTCTCCATCAGAGCCCAGGCTTATAAGCACAACACCAACCCTGGGTAGTAAAAGGTAAGAAAGCTATGCTTGCGTTCTCTTCTCAGTCTGTGCAAAGTGTCTTCTGAAGGGCCTCTTTGGGCTCCCTTGGCCTCATATGAGTCTCGTTCATATAATCACTATTCTACTTAAAAATTACAAACACACAAAAAATAAAACTATGATATGATGGGAAGAAATCAGCTTTAACTGATCGTAAATACAATATTTTTAAACTTTATCCCAGTGAAGCAAAATAATTTGACCTTAGCTAGTCTCCATGCCCAAGTAAGTTTAGCCCAAAATCTTTGTGTATAGTGGACTATAGCTAGCTTAAGATATAAACTAGTTATAACCTAACAGTATGCTATTGTAGCCAAGTAACTGAGTCTCAGCCAATCACGCAGTTGCTGAGATGGCTCAGTGGTTAAGAGCTGGCCCTGCTTCTGCTAAAGAACCAAGCACTGGTCCTAGCACCCACATCAGGTAGCTCACAACTGCCCATAACTCCACCTCCAGATCAGACGCCCTGCTTTGGCCTCTGTGGGCACATACACGTGCACAGCATGCATGCACACTCATAAATAAAGACAAAACTTTAAGAAACAAGATTCGATTATAGGATCCCTTCAAAATTGCCACACTGAATGTTTATAGGGCATGATTATGTATCAGGCACAGGTGAGCCGATCTGAACAAGCACAAAGAGCTGCATCCGGGACTTGTCAGACTCAGGGCAGCAAAGGTGGAACCAAGTGTGAAGAGTGGTGTTCAACTGTGGTTTCTGCACCCAGAAAACTGACCTAAGGGCTATTACCATGTCATGTTATTTGCTGAAAAAAAAAAAGTAGCTAAAAAAAGTCTAAAACTACAAGGAAAGTAATACTAACCAACTGGTCACAAATAGGAAATTGGTTGATTAACTTCCCAAATAAAATCGATATAAATATGGAATGATCTAAGTGATAAATAATAACTAAAACTATAGAATCAATGACTAAATAGTAATTAATTTAAAACTCTTGCCTGAGTGAAATTATTTTTAACAAAACTATAGTTAAAGGAACCTATCGCTGAAACTCAACAGAAACATGAATGTCCAGGCACCATGCAATTGCAGGAAAAAATTTCACATATTAAATGGAAGATACCATTGTCTGACTCTGGCCATCCAGCACCACCTAGACACCGTCAGCCTGTGTGGGAAGCTTCAACTTTCTGGCTTGCTAGCGCCTCACTTTCCTGAGAGAGTAACCAGAGATGATCTCCCCAGCCTTCTTTCCAGCCAGGGTTCAAACAGGTAACTTAGCAACCACCAGGCAGGCTCATCCACTCTCTAGCATTAGGTTTAAGTGATCTGGGGTCCACTACAAAACCTGCTTTGTTACAAAGGACAGTAAAGGCTTCTGTCTGCAGTCTCCACATTCATGTACATGGATGTGTGTACGCAAAGCACTTGTACACACATATTCACTACATTTTTTAAAAAAATTCCTAAAATACAAGAAACAAGTTCTTCCAAAGGAAAAATCCTTTAACATTCCAAAGGTAAAGACTGTTAACGTTCTGAAATTTAAGTTCAGATGATTTCAACATATTCAGGAGAAAAGAAAGGAGTGGGGGGAAGAGAAAAACCAACCCTCCCACAAACTTAGGCCGGTCAAGATGTAAAATTTTAGGAATTTCTTAGTTGCTGTGATGAAACAACATGACCAAAAACCAAGTTCTGATGGAAAGGGTTTTTTCGGCTTACACTTCCAAACATTGCTGTTCATCACCGAAGGAAGTCAGGACAGGAACTCAAACAGGGCAGGATCCTGGAGGCAGGAGCTGATGCAGAGGCCATGGAGGGTGCAGCTTACTGACTTGCTTCTCTTGGCTTGCTCAGCCTGCTTTCTTATAGAACCCAGGACCACCAGCACAGAGGTGGCACCACCCACGGGCTGGGCCCTTCCCCATTGATCACTAATTGAGAAAAAGCCCTTATAACTGGATCTCATGGAGGCCTCTCTCCTCAACTGAGGCTCCTTCCTCTATGATGATGCTAGCTTGTGTCAAGTTGACACACAAACCCAAGCAGGGCAAGGAACTACTTCTAAAGTTGATAGATAATAACAATACCAGGTCAGAAATAGGACTGGATTCCCAAATAATGTGTGGGAAAAAGAGTTAGTGCATAAAACAGATCAAGTATGATCATTAAAATCCATAATTTAAAGTCAGGAAATGTTCCAAATATTCTCAGTGGTCATTCCAAATAACAACAAAAGACAGTTAAAAATAACAAAAATACTGTTTAAATTGATATTATGTGTTTAAAATATGTGAGGGATAAAACATAAATACTAATTAAGTCAATAAGCCAAACAGTATTAATCACAAAAGCTCACTGTCAAAGCATTGCAAGAACAGTTAGAGAGAGAGGTACTGTACACTGACCACCTCCACCACTCACCCAGTGGCTCACCCAGCTGCACAGTTAATAACTGACAATGAAACCTGGGTGTCTAATTTTGCTACCTAAGTTTTTGTTAGTAAACTACGATATTTACCATAATGAGCAAAACTGACGTAACCTCAGATTTCGGTGGCGCTTAGCAGTGCGCTTCATCTGCCCCGCACTCCAGCCTCCGTTACTGCACCCAGCACCCACCGGGCCTTCAGAGGTTGTAATCTGTGAGGTTCTGATGTTTGCTTTGGATTTGGAGTGGAAGAAGGGCTATTATGTTTGTTCACATACAATTTTTTCCAAGAAATTAATTGGTGACATTTAAAACACATGCTTCCCATTTAAAAGTCTGATATTCTAGCTTCTCTCAAAACGTTTGCAGGATCCTGGCAGCCGGGGTAGTCACAGAGCTGAGGCCTAGCGTTATCTGGCACAGCCTCCCTGTGACCACAGCGATCACTGTGTATGGACTGCTCTAGAACCTCCAGTCAACTCTGCCCTGTGCGCCTGTACGCCCTGGTCTCCCACTTGGCTGCAAGCCATCTGACACAAACAGACACGGCTAAAGGGGAAACGGGCAGGGCCGAGATGCTCTGGTCCTGTCAAATCCTTATTCAGTCCGAGGAAATAAAAGACCAGAATGCCAAGTGTTTCAGGGAGCACAAAGAGCATGTTTCTTTGAGGGAATAACTTGGAAAATATTAAAGTTTTAATGCAGAGAATATCTTCTAAGGGGAAAAGTGTCAATTTGGGCTGAAAAGCTGATGGTGTAATAAAGATTAAGAAAGATAAAGTCATTGACAATCCGAGTTTACATACCTCAGAACTGGACAGGCCCGAGTCTGTGTCGTCTAGGCCTTTAAGGAGCTCGTCCAGCCTTTTCTTCTCTCTGTCGATCATAACCACCGGGCTTCTGGGGCTCTTGGCCAACTACAGGATGTATTAGTAAGAAATGTAAGCAACAGTGCAGTGTGGAGTCCAGGGATAAAATGAGAACTCTACAAAATAGACACACTGAGTTTCAAAACTGGAGAGATTGGGCATTTTGATTTGCTAGGTAATTTTATTTTATGACAAATCTCTTATACCATTCTCCCAGCAGGTATTTTCAGGACATGCAAGCCCTCTTCTGTGTGTGTGTGTGTGTGTGTGTGTGTGTGTGTGTGTGTGTGTGTGTCGCGCGCGCTCTGGAACTCATGTGTGCATCTGTCAGCTACAGCACATATGCGGAGGCCAGAAGACAACTTGAAGAGCCCTTTCTCTCATTGTGTGAGCCCAGGAAGAGAACTCAGGCTCGAGGCAAGCACCCTTTATTTTTATTTACCCACTGAGTCATCTCACTGGTTCCGGGCAGGCCTTCTTATTAACCACAAAACAGGGTTTCTCTGTGTAGTCCTGACTGTCCTTAAACTCGCTCTTGTAGACCAGGCTGGACTAGAACTCACAAAGATCCTTCTGCCTCTGCCTCCAGAATTTTGGGATTAAAGGCGTATGCCACCATTGCCCAGCCACCAAAAATCATTTATA